CAGGGTACTTTTTTGGGTACCCTTAACTCAGTATATTCTCTAGGGTATCGAAAAGGATTTATTTTGTGGTTTCTCAAACCCCTGATGTTCCCATGCCCATAGCTCCATCAAATAAACTCATGAGAGTCTAGAAAATTTTTCATAATCTCACTTTTATTCAAAGAATTGAAGTGAGATAAAAAAAGGAGTGTATATTGTTTTCGACCATGTTCCAACGATTCTCGATGGTCTGGTGGAACATCTCTTATGAGAATGATTGAAATGGCAAAGCAATTTACCTCTGTATACTTTGATACAAGAAATATTAGGTGACAATTCATTGAATCGTTCGAGAAATAAATAAAGTGATGGATATATTTTAAACCAAGTGTTGACAGTATCTGGCCAATTGAAGATATATGAATAATTACTAAAAGGAAAAAAGCTGTTAGCGCAATCCCTACGGGATTAAAAATGTGAAACACGATAGACCCTGCTATATTGAAAATGCAAAGACTCAGCGATATGTATAAATTTTACATATCACTCTATTGAAAACTTCGAAAACTAAGTAGTTTCATTATATACGGAACTCGAAACGCATTAACTCTAAACCTGTTCCTGCATTTTTTTATAATGCTAAAATCCGGTTTACAAATATTAGCTAAAAATTTTTTATCTATACTTTCTCCGATTCAATGTCTGCTTCGGACTTTGATACTATGCTCTTAACGTTCTGTAACGGAAAAGTAACAGTTACTATTGTGTCTGTGATAAGCCATTTTCAACATGTCTGTTATGTCTGTAACGTGTCGTTGCTAAGCATGTCGGTCACGGTCTGTGAGGGGAGAGGGGGATTGGGGGTGGGTCCAAATTTCTACCTTATATACTTCAACACTCCTTTTAGATCGTGTTTCACAAAAATATGTATGAATAATTACTAAAAGGAGAAAAATATAAGTAAATCGAAAAGTTCTCAGAATTTTTATATAAATAAATATCTTACATAAGATTATCGGATATTTGAGATGTATTAGTGAAAAAAGAGAAAAGATGTTGGCATGATACTATTGGATCAAACAAACATTTAACATTTGTCCACTGTTGTTCGATAAAAAAAGAATGAATTTTAAATGAATTAGTTATTCTTTCTATATCATTAAATGATAATTGACATTGTGAATAAATATAAAAATTGAAATAAATCAAATTAGGTATTATATCAGGTAAACAATATTGACGAATAAAATTTGCATCAATAAAAGATTTTAATATATTTTGACATTTTGTTTCGATTAGTTTATCACTTCTAAGATGAAGTTGAAGTTTTTCAATATAATTCATATTATTAAGAAGCCATTTCAAATAAATAATATCTGAATCATTGTTAATGAAAGTTTTTAAACTAAAACATCGTAGTTTTGGTACCTAAAAGGATACAATTATTTTTTTTTGTTTTATTAATCGAAACAAACAAATATATTAATAAATTCATTGAAGATGATTATTCTTTGTTTTTTCTTACTTTATAAAGCCAATTTTGATTTGATTGACTCAATCTTTCAATATTTGTTGTGTTTAATACATATGAAGTGATTGTTTGATCAAACTCAACTGTTATTTCTTCGAGATTTGGTACATATTCAATAAGATTTTCAAAAAAACATATTTGATTTAGTCGAATATGCAAACGACGAAGAGTCATACAATAAGATTGAAGTTGATATTGAATAAGATTGGAAGAGTGATAAGAGTTTGATGGTAAATATCGATGAATAGCACCATCAATAAATCCATAGCTAATATCAAGTCGAAGAGATTTTAATTGACATTGTCTTGAGAATAATTGACAAAGAAATTGTTTGATCATGTTTAATTGTTTTTCTATTATTTATTAAAGAAAAATAAAAGAGAGAAAATATTTATTTTTCTATGAAAAATTCTTTTTAATTTTAGATTTAATAATATAAAACTCATATTTACAAAATCTTATTCTTTTTCTCATTGATCAAAATATCAAATATTGAAAAGAAACACAGAATAATAATTACTAGATTTCTGTTATAACAGTTGGTTAATGTTTTAATAAATAAATGATTGGAACATATTTAAGATAATTGACAAACGAACCAAAACTTATTCATAATAGCATACTACTTATTCACATCTATAATGTTTGTTTTGCATAACAAGAAAATAATGAATTATTAATATTGAATGTTATATTACTTATTTATATCTTATGAGAGAATCTCATGATGTGACAAATCAATTTTAAACTGATATTTATCTTATTGAATAAGATGTATTGTGGCAAGAGGGAATCTTAGGTTGATTAGCGACCATATTCCAGTGTTCTATAGCTATGTGATCATTTTACTAGATTTTCAGTCAGTAATAGTAGTTGTCAACAATTATCAAATATAGATTTTTCATTTAAAATTTTTCTCGAAAATAGGCCTTATTATCTGACACCTAAAATACTCCTCTTTCTTCCAGTGAAAGAATTTCTATAGGATGTAAATGATCTCAGTTGAGAATGATTTTTTTCAAGATAAATAATCCTATCTTATTTTACAGAATCTATCAAATAAATGATTGATTACCTTTATCAGAAACCATTGATAAATGTTTTTTTATATAATAAAATCGGTTGAATACGTGCTCATCAAATGTTAATGTAAGTTCATCTAATTGATGTTCAATAAGATAAGATAAATTTTCAACTATTGCTTCAATTGATCCACATCGAGTGAGGACAAGTGATTTAAGATTAGGAAAACGAAGAATTTTTTTATCATTAAACAATAATTCATAAATAAGATCACAAGTTATTGAGTTTGTTCCATCAAAATAAATACGTTGAATAGAAGAACAAAGAGATGATGAATTTAAAATCAATGGAAATAATATGGAAGAAAATTTATTATAAGATAAACCTTGTTCAATAAAAAGACCAGGATTTAATAAATTATCATTTGTTGAAAGAACTAAACACACAAGAGAATTGAAACGCATATTTAATGACCAAAAACACGTTAACGTATCGAACCATTCAAGATAAGAAAATATATCAAGAAGAATTTCATTTGGTAGTATTTCCATTCTATTTATTATTTTATCTAAAAAGAAAGATAGATTATACGTTTTATTTTGTGAAACACAATCTAAAAGGAGTGTTGAAGTATATAGGGTAGAAATTTGACGCCCCCCTCCCCCTATAGACCGTGACAGACAGAAAGGAAGTACCATCACAGACCGTTAAGAGCATAGTATCAAAGTCCGAAGCAGACATTGAATCGGAGAAAGTATAGATAGAAAATTTTTAGCTAATATTTCTAAACCGGGTTTTAACAGAATGAAAAAATGAAGGAACAGGCTTAGAGTTGATCCATTTCGAGTTCCGTATATAATGAAACTACTTGGTTTTCGAAGTTTTCAATAGAGTGATATGTAAAATTTATACATATCGCTGAGGCTTTGCATTATCAATATAGCAGGGTCTATGGTGTTTTGCATTTTTAATCCTGAAGGAATTGCGCGACACAGCTTTTTTTCAGATTTCATTATTATTGAATATCAATAAAATAATTTTTATCTTACAAATATATGAAAAAGCAAATATACCTATTCGAAGAAATAAATTAGTGATTTATGTTGTTGAAATCATCGTTCGTTCGTTCACACTATACGTTAGAGAAAAGAAAAATATCACATTATTCTCTAATATATTTGATATTCTAAATACTATCTACGGTTTAAGGCTTTTTTGTTAAAAAACTCAATTAAGTTTACATTTTCCTACTAACCCATGTCGCCTTTTTTTCATCAAAACCGCCGGTTGACCGCGGTTCTTTATAAAATCGTCGGTTTAAGGTGGTTACTCGTTTTTCATCACTTTCTGATTGATTTTTCTATAAAAACGGCATTATCCGTCCTGAAAACGTCCAGTTTTACCCGAAAAGTTCATTTTAATATGCCAGTGCATATTATTTTAGATGATGCTACAATTATCGATATTGGTTATTCTTCTAACTAATAGCTATTTTTACAGCGCATCTTTAATAAATATCCAAACTCGTAAACTAAGCGAAAATAACCGATGTGGCTGGTACCAGCGGCTTCAGCGCACTCACAAATATAAAGGAAGCACGATTTTGACTAAAATCTGACGTTTTTCTAAGAGTAAAAAAAAATCAAGCATTAGAACCGAGATTAACCGTAGTAACCTGAACGGTTAAGTGCCCAGTTAACCGGAGGTTTTCGACCGGTTTGAGCAACATGGGAATATATGATATGATAGGAAATAAATGAAGTCTACTGTTAGAAATAGAAAACAATCGAAGAATATACAATTTAGTTTTAGTATATTTTAAGGAGTACATTTTATAGATTTAACTTTCAGAAAAAATTTTCTATTCATTGTCGAAAAACTGTACCCTAAGTCAAACAATATAAATCACTAATTTTATTTCTTTATTAGGGACATTTGCTCTATAAATGATTGTGCATCAATGAAAAAAAAAATTTATAGAATAAAGAATTGAAATATTTTTTTAACATAATGTCATAAAATAGCATCTTTTCAATTCTATTTTATCCGGAAGAATTCCCCCAGGATGATTGGATATATTATTCATCAAAACCTATTATAGAAAATTCGTATCTCTTGTTTTTGCAAAAATCGAACAGAAATAAATAATATTCTTTCATTCAAATATTAGTCTCATATCTTTAAAATTCAATAAATCAATATTAATTTCTATTAGATTTATTTAAAAAAAAGATCCTTGTACTCTTCGTTTGGTTATTAATCAGAAGAAGATAATATTTTCATTCTTTAATCAAAGATTATGTTGTTAATAAGTACATGCTCATAACAATTTCATTACTATAAAAACATGGAGATAAAAGCACTCATAATCATAATGTAATGTTGAAAACTCAAGTCTGACAAAATCTATGAAACATACATGTATTTATAATAGTCCGATCTATAAGAATAATCTGTCGAGAGATGTGTTATCTGTCAAAGAAATCTGGATTTCTTGCTTTAAATTAAAATACTCATTTACAATTCGTATTTTTCAACATCATTTTATCTAATTAAAAATCAAGGTATATTCTACAATTTGCAAGTTCAATGATAATATTAGTCAAAACTTCAAGAAATAAATTCCTTTCTTTCATAAAAAGAAATTAAAAGATCAATTTCGATATAATTAATGTGAAAAATTTCGAAATAAAAATGATGTAAGTGTCACAAGTGGTGAGTTTATTTCATATTTCATGGTTAAATGCAAAAACAAAAGACATAATTTTCTCTTCTTTATTTGCGTAAGTCTTATATCTTAACTATAATAAAATATCAAAAAATACAATAAAATCATACAGACCATTTCAGAGTATATTGTATCGTATAATATTCGAACGTTGTTGTACGTGTTCGTCCACATATGTTAGAGAAAAAAAACAATCATATTCGTTTCTTTATCATATGAGTCATATAAATTCGACGAAAAAACATTCTCATTCGTCCAATACAGTGAAATGATAGATGACTGTTCGTTTAATATGAAATGAAAAAGTCATTATTCTCTCTTTTTTTTCTATCATGTTGATGACCGCATAGCTATATATGCCAGCGTCCAAATGGATATAATGTCCAATCTCAGATTGGACTAGTCCAATATCAGATTGAAAGATAAATACGGCGAATGTCGGATTGGCCTAGGCCAATGTGAGAATGAATATGAACTTTATGAATTTATTACGACATATAGAAAATACTTCGTCCCATACAACTTGAAAGTAAACGTTTGACCACAATAACTACTTGTGAGACAATTTAACCTGAGGTCACCGCAAACTGTAGTAACAAGAAATCAAGAGCTCTCGTTTTGCTTTAGGGTGTGGGTGAGGGTGGTGTGGCTGTGGGTGGTGTGGGTGTGGGTGTTGGTCTCAGTAAACAGTAGACACCCACACGCCCCATCC